GTTGTGTGAATATATTATAAAACATAAAAAAAATATATATATATATATATATATATATATATATATATATATAACTTATTCTTGTGATAGCAAAGCTGAATTTTCAGTATCAGTACTCTAGTCTTTAGTATCACATGATCCTTCATAAATCATACTAATATTCTGATTTGCTGCTCAAGATAAACAGTTGTGCTGCTTAGCAAAAAATCATACCGACTCCAAACTTTTTAACAGTAGTGTGTTACATGGGTTAAAAAACAATACATTTCTGCTATTTGGAAGCATCTTAAACCTAAAATAAGAACCAAAAGAAACCTGAATTTTATGCTATGTTCAAAACCTTATCGGAGACGGCCTCATTGCTGCTTTTTCAGTGCTGGTCATTTTTGTAGCATTTGTTTTGGAAAGCATCAGATTCTCCTCTGTGCTCTAAGAGCCAAGTTGCAAACAAGTTCCTTTTTGCTGCTGCAGTTTGTCATTCTCTACTTAAGCAACAATCACGCCATTTAATAAACAAACTAATGTTCTCTTTTATTACTCTTTATTAAAATACTGCTGTACACACAAATATTTCAAAAATGTGACAAACACAAGAAGGGCATAAAACATACTGGGATGGTGAAGGAGGATTTCATGTACGAGTGCATATGTATGTGTGTGTCTGGAGTGCGGTACATGATATGAGACCGGCCTGTAAAAGGTGTGTACTAATGTGTGTGTGTGTGTGTGTGTGTGTGTGATTCAGAGAGGGATACGGGCTTGGCACCATGTTCACCAATTAGTTTACTTATCAGTTGACTAAAATAAAAAAGAGGGGAAAAGTACATTATTGAACTTACAGCATCCTCAGCTCTGCTTGCTGTATCCTGCACCCTCTCAGTCCAGTGTGGCACACCCAAATCTGTGCTGCAAGTCCCACCTGTTCCTTGACTCACGGATTGGGCAGTCACCAATGACAAGTCAGACACATTCAGTCATTGGCATATTCCTGTCAGGGATCAACCTGAGCGAATTCCAAACTTTTTTTCTGGATGTCGTCACATAATTTGTAGGTCAAATCATAGTTAAACAAAAACGAAACCAATACAATCCCAACCATCCTGCTGGGACTGGTCCACAGAGATCACACTAATGAGGTGAGAAACATCCCATCATGCATCTCTGTACAGCAACTTGGTGAGGAAAGGGAAAGACAGTAACAACACAAGAGAGCTCTACTGAGATTCACTATATCCAAACCAATACAAGCGTGGATTAGATTGAACGAATTAGGGAAAAGAATGACAAAATGGCCAGAAACTTGGGATGCTCAACAACAGAAGCATTAGAGGACATTCCACAATGAGACAGAACTGGTTTCCCTTGCTAGCGTGGTCCAGTTCTTTGGTTCCTATCACAAAAGCTTGACTTAAAAAAAAAAAAAAAAAAACTACAACGAAAATCCATCCTCTCAAAATCCGATTTCAAAAAGCATCCATAAAACGAAAAAGTATGTTGCGAAATTATGAAATAAACGACAAGTTCACACAGCAAGAGGAGAGAGCACCCCTTTGTCATGGAATCCCCCTCGACTGCACGCAACCAGTAACTTCCCCTCCCGCCTCCAAGTTGGCCAACATTTAAATGGGTCATTACAGCAGACGAGGAGTGGTGGCACGGTACTACTCATGCCACACATTCATAAGTGGTCAGTCTCATCAGTTTGTCCCATCAGAGCAGAGGATTCTGCACACATGACCAGTGGTCTGTTCCCATTTCTAGTACCTCATTAAAAATGCACAAGGAGATGATGTGGAAAAACGGTGCTCTGATTTTCTTCTAATTTCATGTGTGAGACCCCGGCCCTCAACGCACCCTGTGGGACACGCACAATCACTTAAAAAGAAACTTAAAATGTTTAGTGCTTCCTCCAAAGAAAAAAATAAAAAAATAAAAGCAGGAAGTCTCTTATTTTTTGGACATTGTTCCCAAGTCTAAAAAAAAATTAAAAAAAAATCATCACAGCTCTCAGTTCAGTTCATAATTCTGCAGCTGCGGTGTTGTTGTGAAAACTAAAAAAATAAGCTTTAGAAAATAAGCTTTTTCTGGACAGAACAGTGTATCTGACTGGAGGTGAGCAGCCAGCTGGCTCTGCCCTGGTCGTGAGATCATCATTCTGCACCTATGATTCCAGGCTGTAGTGCAATGTGCTCTGTTTCAGGCAGTTCCAGCCCACTCTTGTGGATGGCTGGGGGTTACAGGGGACCGTTCGTGGCGGCCAGCAGTTCCTGGAAGGTGCTCTCAAAGCACCGCTTTAGGTCGGAGTAAGTCACCACAAGCACGCTCTTCTCATCCCGTGACACCAGACTGACCTTCTCCGGTGCTCCAGCATCCAACTGCAATGAGCAATTAAAGGAAGTTAGTGACAAAAATAGTGGACTGGTTAAATTAGCAAAGCTGAAGTGATGAATGAAAAATAATAGAGTTCCATGAAAAAGACATTTACATTTTATTTTGTTTTAAGGTTACAAATTATATATGTAATACAAAATGTATGTAATTACACAATTAAATACTTACAATAGGAATATGGTTAGGGTTCAGTTGCTTGTAATTATGCATAATTTTCATGTTGGTTTTGAAAAACATATACACTATTTAAGATAAAAATTTAAATCAATGGCTCTAAAAAAAGTAATGTGTTGTAACTATCAAGAAAAATTATTTATTTTAAAATAATTTGTGTACATTTCTGCCATATGTACATTAACTGACAGTCACCACTGATAAGCTACCACTAAATATTGTAGAAACTTAATTTGCTGTAAAGTTGCTTTGCAATGATTTGTATCGTGAAAAGCGCTGTACAAATAAACTTGAATTGAATTGAATTATACAAATACACTAAACATGACTACAGGTTTGTTGGTGTATCAACCAAGATTTCGTGGCTTTCTTAAAATTATTATAATTTACAGTAGATTTTAAATAGTCAGGCAATGAATTCCAAAATTTTACACCTTTCACTGAGAGAACAGTCTGAGCAAATGATGTTTTGCAATATATAACTTTACAGTTTCCACTAGAAGCCGCTCTAGTGGATCTACTGCTTCCCTGCAATCTCTCGAAAAATGTACATAAGGGCATAGGAGCAAGACCATTTAAACAAACTTTACATAATGAAAAAAGACAAAGTGAGCAAAGCTCAAAATCTTGTATTTACTTAGAAAGCAAATAAGATACCATCATTGTCAGATCCTATCTAAAATTTTCAAAGCTCTATTGTAAAGACATTTAACCTGATTAATTATGGATTGATTTGTCTGAGACCAAATAGCTAATCCATATGCCATGTGTGATAATATCATCGAATTTAAAAACAAAAAAGCATGATCATATGATGAACAATTTTTTATTATTCTAAAGCTAGTAAGATTTGCTTTTAATCGTTTTACGTAACTTTTTAACATGACTTTTAAAATTTAACTGAGAATCTAAAATCATACCAAGATATTTTTCTTCTGATACTTGTTCTATAATCTCATCTTTAATTCTAATGTTTAATGATTCTGTTACCGGTAATTTTCTTATTGAAAAGCATATGGACTTTGTCTTTTTAGCATTTAAAGTTAAAAAAAGAGGCATCAAGCCAAGTGGACACTTTCTCTAAATTTCTTGTTAACTTTTCTTCAATTTCCATACAGTTCCTACCCGATATGTAGATAACCGTGTCATCAGCATACATTTGAAGACTCGCATCAGGACACACTTCTGGAAGATCATTTATATAAATGCTAAAAAGAATCGGACCCAAAATTGTTCCCTGAGGAATTCCTATATCAATATTATGAGGAACTGACTTAAAATTAATGACAACACTTTGTTCACGATTTTTTAAATACGAATCAAACCATAACAGAGATTGTTTTGATATATTATACTTTGTTATTTTTGACATTAAAATATTATGATTTACGGTATCAAATGCCTTTTTCAGATACAGGAATACTGCACCAACTTTAAATCCTTTATCGAGTGACAGCTTAATATTTTCTAATAATAAGCAAGTAGCAGTTTCTGTAGAATGGTTATGTCTAAAACCAAATTGTAAAGGGTGTAAAAGATTACTAGTCTCTAAGGACGTTTGAAAAATTAGATGCAAGATCTTTTACTGATTGAATAAAAAAATCATTAAATATTGACACAATCGTGAGGGTCTGCAGGTTTTTGGTGTCTAACCTGACTAAAGTCTAAACACAAATACAGTGGGGCAAAAAAGTATTTAGTCAGCCACCAATTGTGACAGCCCCACAACATTACTGCTCTAGAGGAGATCTGGATGGAGGAATGGGCCAAAATACCAGCAACAGTGTGTGACAACCTTGTGAAGACTTACAGAAAACGTTTGACCTCTGTCATTGCCAACAAAGGGTATATTATAACAAAGTATTGAGATGA